TACACACCAGGAAATAATTTCAAAATGGTTTTCCTTGGCTCTTGTTCTGCTCTGCCATCAACTAAATCAGGTCCAAGTCTGCAGATGCTAGTGGGGTGAAAAAATGATATCGGTAATTTAGGTAGGAAGCGGGTCATTGGGACAAATTTTCTACTGCTTTATACCTTCTGCAGTTATTTCTGTCGGTGTGGCAGGCTGCTATTGAAGGTTGCAGTTTATTACTCTTCAGGAGCTTGCATGGGACACGAGGCATTAGCTAATCAGAATGGTATGCTCAAAATTACAGCCCTGAGTGGAAAGGTAACTAAGAGTCTAAGCCATTTTACCACAGGCACCAGTATCTGCAGGGGGGCAGGGCAGTGAGGAATATGCCTCAGTTCTTTCTGGGGAAAGAATTTGCTAATGAAGCGGAAAGGAGCAGCAAACATGGAGGGAGTAGGCTGAGCTGATTAACCCAGGCTAAGAGACTTCCCTGGCTAATGTTATACTGCGTGTTTTTCTGACCCTGCCTGTCACTGCTTTGCTTCAGAAGGCCATTCAGACTTCCTATCACTTTTTTTCCATAGCGCTGGCTGTCCTCTGCCCTGCTGACAGGCCACTGTGTCCGCCTCCTCTTCAGCTCCTACCTCTGTTGCAGTCATCTCTTCTTCACACCTTACTGACATGACCCTCTCTGAGGCAAACAACTCTCTTCTGCTGTCACTTCTTCAATTTTCCAGTATTCCAACAGAACCAAACCCTGCAACGTCAGGCACACTGCGGAGCAATAGTGTTACTACTGTAGGCTCCCAGCCTCGCAGAAATGCTGAAAATGTACACAAGATACATGGACACAACAGTTAACAGGCAGGCACACGGGCTGATCATCAGGAGGTAGCAACCGCAGCAGGCAGGCTAGTGTCAGGACTTCCACTTAGCTCCTTTCACTTCACCTAAGGGTGCCTTTGCACATACACACAGTACATGTTTGTGGAGGTGGACAGAGGCAGACCACCAGCAGCTTAACTTCTCCATTTTCCCCTGGGAGACGTGCCTTCTCCAAAGCACAACACGCGAGGCTCTCGTCCTGCTAATGCTCTGCCCGCACCCACGCCTGCTGGAGCGCTGTCAGCCTCCCCGCCCAGCGACGCTAAACCGGGATGCAAACCAGCAAGCTGATCTTGGACTTAATGGCCTCACCTGAACAGGGCTGCCTGACCTACCGCTAGCAGCTTGCCGGTCCCCACCTAAGCACAGAGTATCATCCAGCAAGGATGAAAACCCGACAGAGATTTGAACAAACCTGGAAGACAGGCAGGTTTACTGCTCTGGCTAGTTCTGCCTGGGTCCCTGCCTGCTGCACCCACCCACGCGCTGCCCTCCAGCAGCCCGAGGAGGGAAGGCCGCCCCACGCACCCCGTGGCGAGGTGGCCCCGTCCGGGCCGGGCCTCGCCGCCCCCTCAATCCAGCAAGGATGAAAACCCGACAGAGATTTGAACAAACCTGGAAGACAGGCAGGTTTACTGCTCTGGCTAGTTCTGCCTGGGTCCCTGCCTGCTGCACCCACCCACGCGCTGCCCTCCAGCAGCCCGAGGAGGGAAGGCCGCCCCACGCACCCCGTGGCGAGGTGGCCCCGTCCGGGCCGGGCCTCGCCGCCCCCTCACCTGTGGGCCTGGCAGCAGAAGAGGCAGAGGTCGGCCCCGCAGGTCAGGCAGCGCCTGGCGGCCGCCCCATCGGCGCAGAGGTCGC